CAATAGGTTAACCAGCAGCACACTTCTCTCCTGGGTGGACGTTCGTTCGGCAGGTTTGTTCGGGAAAAAGAGTCATTCGAATGGCTGGGCTATAGAAACCAGCCATTCATACGAACGGGAGACAAACAGACGAATGCAATTAAAATACAAGCAGACAGATGGTTCTGTCACAAGTTCAGTAGGCACTTTCACTTCTAAGTCAATGAGAGACAAAGCATGTGTAATAAGGCAGAGTGTCTTTTTCACTTGAATAAAAAATATCATAATTGCTTGTGCAAGCGAAAGGAAGCTCCTTGATTTAACAACTGATAAATTGAAGACTGTATTCAGTAATTCACCCATACATGAAGGGATCAGGTATCTGGTTGAAGAAAATGATCAACAGCCGGACATTTCTTGAAAAATAAATAGGTTTTTATATTTAATTTAAAATAAAGTTGTATGTTATGTTTAATGGCAATATTCCTATTATATGCACAAAGCAAAACACCTTATATTTCTAAACTGCTTTTAGGATACACTACATTTGCATGACTTCATAACAATAGACTCCTTTAGACAATACCTGTTTAAAATAATAAAATAACGGGGATTATTTCATGAATAATGAGTTTGTTGAGTAAGTGTGTGAATTGCAAAATCGCTTAGTGAATCAATGGATGTTATTTTCAGATTTTAATATTTTAATTTACAAAAATCCTTAAATACAGCTGTCATGGTAACCGAACATGCATTACCTGAAATTACACCTAACTTACTATGACAAAAAATAGGGTACAAGGTGAATTAATAGACATTAAAGTGAGCACATACAGAGAAGAGAATTGTAAAGATAGTAAGCAAGGTCAAGGAAAGGAGAGGTATATGAGTACGTAAGACAGAGCTGGGTCAGAGGAGACCAGAGAGCAGGGAGATGAAGACACACTGGGTCAAAATACCTTTGGAAAACATAGAACAAGGAATGTGTAATTGAATCCACAACAGTGCTCTGGTTACTAGTCACAATGGGTTCTGAATGTGCATTAGAACACATTACTGCACTGCACTGATGATGCATCAGAAATTAATGCAGAAACATAGTGTCCAACATTGGTATTGATGACAAAATGGCATGGGACTGGACAGAGGATGCCAAACTTACATAGTATTTACCATGACTAGAGTTGAGCGAACCCGGATTGTAAAGTCCGGGTTGGTACTGAACATTACGTTTTTTGGATCCCGGACCTGAACATGGACATATCACTGTATGTTCGGGTTGGAGTTCGGTGTTCGGCGATTTAATGGCGCGTTTTGAAAGGCTGCAGGGCAGCCAGTCAACAAGTGTTTGACTTGTGTGCCCTTAGAAGGCATCACAACCATGCCTACTAATGGCATGGCTGTGATTGGCCAGTGCAGCATGTGACCCAGCCTCTATATATAAGCTGGAGTCGCGTAGCGCCGCACGAACATGAGGTCTTATTAGTGTAGGGAGAGGATGCTGCAGCTGTGAGCAGTGGTGTATCCTGGTTTTGTGCTGCCCTAGGCAGGACAAAACTCAGGCGCCACCCAACCCCCCCGCACGCGACCCCCACCCATCCCTTCCCCCGCCCCGCCTTCTAAATACACACACACACACTCACTGACAGATACGCGTACACTAGCTAACAGAAACACAAACTCACTGACACACACAGACAAACACTCACTCACTAGCAGACACACTAGCAGACACACACACTCACTGACACACACACTCACAGGCAAACATACACACACAGTCAGACACACACACACAAACACACTCACTCACTAGCAGACACTCACTAACAGACACACACACTCACTAACAGACACACACACTAACAGACACACTAACAGACACACTCACTAACAGACACACACTCACTCACTAACAGACACACACACTCACTCACTAACAGACACACTCACTAACAGACACACACTCACTCACTAACAGACACACACACTCACTCACTAACAGACACACTCACTAACAGACATACACTCACTCACTAACAGACACACACACTCACTCACTCTGTTTTGGATCAAAGAAAACTTTGATTATTTGTCTATCTACACCTTCCAAATTGTTTAATTAATGCGTGCACGCTTTCCCTAGAAGTAATTCACACCGGAGACAAAGTTTCTGATCAGTGAAAAACCCAGGAATGCTTTATTCCCCGGAGTGGGGGCTCCTTCTTAAAGCAAAAATACGTCACAGTTTAAACATACAGTATACATTCACCAATTGGTTAACAGAGAAAGGGGGCTCTTGTTTAAACCCCCCTACAGAATGGAGCCTTTTAAGGTGCCATTCATGCCATTCATGTAGTGTCATCATTACACACTTTTGGATACACGATGGGAGGGGGAGTGAGTGGTATCTATCAGTTCTAAACCAATGATCCTCCATTTAGCTATATATGGCATATAGCTGTTAACTGACACAAAGGTAGTGGGGGAGGGGAGGCTAGCAGGATGTGAGGAATTTACATAGTAAACAGCAGCTGACCACATTGTAGGGGGGGAAGGGAATATTTACTCTAGAAGCCAGTTTTAACATAGTGAACAGAGAATAAATAGACATTAGTAAATAGCCATTTTATTTTAATTCATCTGTCCATAACAGTCCCCCCTTAAAATGGCAATTTTTACTAAAACTACTATCTCTCATTCTAATACTGTCCCTATAGAAAAATAACAAAAGGCTATCTTGCACATCTGTCTGAACAGGCCTCGAACACTTCACTGCGCGGGTACCCCATAGCAGCTTGTCCACTACTTCTCCCGCGGCAGACTTCTGCCCGTAGAGACAGACGCTATCCCTAAATGTCCTTAAGAGGAAGTAGCTGTTGATTTAGTGCGGTGGGACTGTAAGGGTGTATGTGGTGTATCACGGTCGATATCGTCAATCTCTTGGTGAAGGAAGGTCGGGGTGGTCTGGTCGATTGCCTGATCAACTGTCTTTTGTAGGCATTTCTTAAGACAGGGTAACACACAACAAACAAGAAGAGCGAGGATGATTATCGTTATTAAAATGGCAACACCTATTTGGGCCAGAGCACCTTGCCATTCAGACATCCATCCAAACCATCTTTCCCATGGATCTGTGGCCCCAGAATTTCGTTTCAGTTCATTGGACAAACTCTTTAACTTTTCTATTGCCAACGTTACCTTACCATTAGGGCCTGTATTATCTGGAATATAGGTACAGCATGTCATGGTGTCTGGGAGTATTTTACATACTCTCCCTTTTTCTGCCAAAATCATTTCCAAGCTTATTCTATTCTGGAAGGTCATCTGAGAGATAGTTTGTAACCGCCCTATCCCACCATATATCCCATAACAAGTATAGTTCCCGGGCTATATAGTAATGCCTTCGTCTGGGTTAATATTTTTAGTAATGATTGGGTATTAAGTTTCCATGACTCGCATGCTGACCGCTTAGGTTTAAATACAGTGTAGAGACTTAAAACGCATACTTCATATCCGGAGGAAGGTTCAGGGATACTGTACCTGGGTGAGGCCTCGCTCCTCTGCAGACATAGCAGTTAGACTTGTTATGTTTAGTAGCATTGTATTTCATCCATTCAAGTCACAAGTTAGTGTCAGAGAAACCTGTCTCTACAGCCCTAGTATCCTCAAATATGGGATGACTACCATGTCTTTTAAAGTCCTAATGTGTGGTTTGAGGGGATTAACAGTCATGTGCGTGGCACCTACCCATTCAGCTGAGTCATACATGTCCTGTAAGAAAAAGGTCTCCTGTTTATTGTATAAACCTCTTCCCTTCCAATTCAGATTTTATTAGCCGTAATGCTTGGGAGAATAGATTCAAACTTAGTTTCTTACCTTAAAATTATTTGGTACCCCCCTTGACACCCCTATGGCATTAATATACATATATATATGTGTGGGTAAAACCACCCTTTATAGGGGTACTCCTTTTTGTCCTGAAGCATGAATGAGGTGTGTCAAGAGTACCTTGGGGATTGTCATGTGTTATGTGTATGGACATAATAACCTAGGCTAGGGCACATTTACTTATTCTTAGAAATCTTGTCTCATGCTACCCTAGTACTGGCAGATTCAGATCATTTAAACATTCAATATTAATATCACCACAAACTCAAGATAAGCAGATGATCTTGAAGAAGCTTTGACTGTGCGTATGGCACCTCAGACGTGAGGGCTGCAGGGTAAGGAGTATGTTTGTTTCTCTTTAGTTTCACGAGGTCCCCTTTTGGGGTATTCAGCTTTCCATCGATGGCAGGTGGTCAGGCATTATTATGGCCATCAAAACACCCACTTGTTGATATTTATTTATTTATTTTCAACAAGTATCTTTGTTCTCTAAGAATGGAGTTTCAAAAAGGGTTGTCAAGATCAACAAATGTTACTTCACATGATGCAGAGGCAGGCTTGATTCTGGAATGATGAACCCACGGGGTGATCTCTGTATCTTTCACGGTGCACTACTCAGCATGTGGTCTTGGTTATCACTTTGGTGGCTGGATAGGCCTCTGGCCATCCTGAAAACATGTCTGCTATAATTAGTGCATATTTGAATCAACCATTCTTTGGCATTCTGGCGACTTGACTCCTCTGGAAGAGATAATGAGGTTTGGCTAGATGCTTGGGGCTTTCATCCATTCTTCTTGAGTTGCCCTTGGCACAAATGGCACAAGATTTACAGTAACTGTTGGTCAGAGAGGCAATTCCTGGTACTTCAGAGTATTTATTGATCAAAAGAGTTCATGAGGGTTCTGGACAGATGCTCCGTAGGCCCACTGGACCACTGCTGAGTATATGTTCTTGGGCAAGTATAACTTGAGATTGTTGAAGTACAGCCTGTCTTTAAGAGTTGCCCCTTTCTGTTTCCAGCTTGTGGTTTGTTTGTTTTTTCTTTCTTTCCAGGGTCAGTAGCTTGCTTGTTATTCCTTCGGGAGCTTGATGTCTGTGGGTAGGATCTTACATGGTGAATATGGGAGTTTCTTCAGCAGACACTTTTCTGTCCACTTCCCTTAGTGCACTTACAACTTTTTGAACAACTTAGTCAGCCAGAGAGCTGCCACATGCTTCCTCTGAGTTCAGTCTTCCTTCAGAGATCTTGCATGGTGTGATGGGAGTCTATAGCTCAGCTTCTTGTGCAGACATTGTTGAGGTGAGATACTTGGTCCACTGTAGTGACAGCAAATCCGGAACAGAACATAAGAAAAAGGCTAAAAAAAAAATAATAGTCAGTGTCTTATCATTTCCCCCCTTGGGAAGTGGCAGAAGAGTGGCCAGGTAAATAGAGTATCATCCCTGCAGGGTGACATTATCCTGCACAGAATTCATCCATCACAAGGAGAGGTGGGATATTGCATGGAAAGTCTCAGGTAACCAGGGCACCATTCGACACCAGAGCCTTAACCTGTTAGGGAATAGTAAGAGCTTGGACAGGCTTTGGGGCCTGTATAATTCAGGTAAAGGTATTGGGGGAACTAGCTAGGACCCTTGCCTCTTGGTCAGGTTTCACTGTGTGGAACAAAATAAATAATAAGGTGATAGGGGCCTGCAAGTGGTGGAAGGACATCTGCACCTAGCAGATTAATTGGACAGGTGAAGGTAACCACAAAGCAAGGCTTAGTTAACAGGCTACTCCAAGGAGAGCCATCTACACTTATGCAGGAGACAACAATGTTAGACAGGAATGAGGAGTCAGGCAGGCCTTGCTTGGTACAAATAGATGTCATGTGGCCTGCTATACAAGGCTGCATATAGTTATTGGGCATGGGCCTTACTATGTACTAAAACTTAAGTTAAAAGAAAATTTGGGACAACCTGAAGTGATGCTTCTCCACAGATGCTAACTCATCGTTGATGACATTGTTAATACAGGTAGCCTGATCAGCCAATTTATCTTAGGCTTAAACAAGTCACACCATGTAGTGGAATGGGTCATTAGGATTCGGGAAATTCTACAGTAAAAGGGCATAGTAAGGATGTACGCGATGTTACTTTAGGAGTAGGCGTGGCTGTGGATAGGGGGAAATCAGCCTTATCCATTCCCATATATTATTCCTTTTGTCTTCAGTATATCCAAACCATGTGTATGTCCAGGCGTTGCAATATACAGTAATCCATTATCAGTCATGATATTAAAATCTCATTCTCATTAATTAAATCAAAGATTTTAAATCAACCTCAGAAGTAACAACATTGTTTTTTACCTTCTGTAAAATGATTGGAGTTACTGTATAATTGCATACACCCAATATAACATACATTGCATGTTCCTCACTGCTACATTAGTGTATTTCATTCTGCCATATTTGCAAACTTGATGTACATTTTTATTTTAATTAATTAACCTAATACTTTCTTAAAATACATATAAAACAATGAAAAAACAGTTCAGACTAACATTTCATTAAAACAAACTAACATAGAACTCTATTCTTGGCTGTTCTTAATTCTGGAATCAGCCTGTGTACCTCTGTTGGCAGACATATCCATGCTCATTCCCTAAACTGATCATATCTCTTGAAGTTATCTGATTCTTATAACTTTCTGTGTTACGCTGCATTGCTTGTCTGTCTCCTAATTTCGATTTAGCTAAAATTGCTTTTATTTGTCTGATTATAAGTTTACAAGGAAAGGCTTTAATTGATTTATCTCCACATGTATTTTCTCTGTCAAAATTTTCAATCAACAAATTTAATTTCTCATTTGCTTTTGATTTGATATCTCGGATAAAATATCTGCAAGATCTTAAATAATGTTGTTTATTGCACCAAAAACAAATAACTTTAGGAGTTATATTCTGCCCTATATTATCAACTGCCCTATATTTAGTTGAATAAATTGGGAGGGGCTCAGCTGTCTGTATCACTCTACACTCTGTCCTAGAAGAAGAAGAAGAAGAAGAAGGAGGGACGGGGGCTGTAACATCTGCACTTCTTTCTCTGCCTAAAGCCACAAGTCGTTTTAACCCCTTCATTCTTGGTTTCCCTCCTTAAGTTATCCAAGAACAAAGCTACTTCTGTCAAAGTGCTTTTTTTCTCTAGCTACCACAATTGCAGTTGGATCTAGATCTTGAAATTTTTTCACAAATTCATTAATTAACTGATCTTCAGAAAAATCAGCAACAAGTCTATATGCATTTTCAAATTTTACAAGAAAACTAAATATATCCTCCCCCTTGTGTGGTTTTAGTTTTTCCAACATTTCAGTGTCTGCAAAATCATTCCCTGTTGTTAATTTTATTAATTGTGTTAATCTGTCTCGCTTATTTCCATATATTATTTCACCATTGTCCTCAAATTTTACAATCGCGGTCAGCCTACATGCCATTTGAGTCGGCAGCCATATTTGAAATAGTCTATTCCTTTGTACGTCATTTAGGCTGTATTTGTCTAAATTAGACTCAAACATTTCAGCATTAGTGAATGCATCCACTGACGTGTCATAAACTGGAATACATTTCACAATTTTCATTAATTGTTCATGGATCTTCAAATTAAGTTTTGCAGCTCTGTCTTGAAATTTATATTTCTGCAAATCACTCTGTGAGGATACATTTTCAGTATCTATTGGTTCTGGGATTAGATTCTGTGCCTGTATTTTTCTTGTATTAACACACACTAGCTTTACTTCATTTCTAAGCTGGCAAATAAGATCATTTCTTATTTCAACTCTATCCTCTAATTCACAAACTGTTTCTGACAATGTGCTCTCTGTTACATTGTTACACTGTTCATTTAAATCGGATTTGTCTTCTGTTAACCCATTCAAATCTACTTCTTTTTCTGATGATTCTAAATTTTCTTGATCTGCATTTCGTTTACAAATCAATGCATTGTAAGTACAGACTAGTTTCATAACATTTCTGATCTTTTGTTTTTTTTTTTTTATTATTAACAAACAATTTCTTGTCAATTTCACTATTGGCAATTTCACATTGTGTGTATAAAGATTGCCACAAAACAGCATCTGAATAGCTGCTATTAAATGCAAACTGCAATTTACTTTTCTCTGCGATATTCATTTATAAATTCCACAATTCATTTGTTCCAACAAAATCTAACTTTCCTTATTCCAACATGCCAATAACCTCTTGCTTAACAACATATACAAGATTACACAAAGTTCCTAACTAGGTTATTCGTCCAGCAAATATACCTTGTTTCCCTCACATTCCTCACTGAGTTTACAAGCATTTCACCCATTCACCCCACCCCTGCAGCCAGCAAGAGCAAGAGAAGGAGGGGGGGGAGGAGGGAGGAAGACTTGCAAGCACAAAGTTTTTTAACCATGTGATTGCCTAAGCACAGCTCTCCTTAGGACAAAAGATAGAATAGGAGAGTAACGATACAAATTGTATAGATTACAATTAACATATATGGTACCCAACAAGACATACACAGACAAAAGCACAAAATACAGATGTAATTAAATCACAAAGTTCTTAAAATAAATGCCGGCTTATAATAAATCAAATCACACACACAGAAACACTCAAGCACATAAACCGCTCTTTTACCAAAGCTTAGCTATTTAAACTCTTGACCGAGTCTTAATAAAACAAAGGAACCGCCAGGTTTTTTACCAAACGAGGCCAAAACATCACTCACTAGCTTCTTTACCAAAGCTTAGCTAAAATATTTTTTTTTTTTTTATTTATTTATTTATTTATTTTTTAAATTATTTTATTTATTTATTTTTAAACTCTTGACCGAGTCTCGCAATAACTTCTTTACCGAAGCTTAGCTAAAATAAATATAGAGCCAGGGGTTTTCCACCAAACCCGAACTTGGCTAAACCTGCAAGTGCTTAACCACACTTGGCAGCATTATATAACAGTATTAAGCAAGTAGTAAAACAGATTCTCAAACAGACACTTTCACACATAAAACTCTCACTCAGGACTCAGGCTGTAGATAGACAAGTGACAGGTTCTATATAAAAGGGGACATTCGGGCATATATATATTACCTGTCTGAAGACGTTAAACACCGGAAGCCGAATGTGAAGGCACGGAGAACAAGAGAAATCCAAAGAAAGGAAAATATAGGTAAGTAACTCATTTACCATATGCAGAGGTGATCAGGCTCCGTTTCCAATCTCTGGGAATCCTTTGCTCTCCTGTCTTGGGATCTGACGGCTGCCTTAGTAACGTATCCCTTAAATGCCCGCATTCTCCACCAAATTGTTTTGGATCAAAGAAAACTTTGATTATTTGTCTATCTACACCTTCCAAATTGTTTAATTAATGCGTGCACGCTTTCCCTAGAAGTAATTCACACCGGAGACAAAGTTTCTGATCAGTGAAAAACCCAGGAATGCTTTATTCCCCGGAGTGGGGGCTCCTTCTTAAAGCAAAAATACGTCACAGTTTAAACATACAGTATACATTCACCAATTGGTTAACAGAGAAAGGGGGCTCTTGTTTAAACCCCCCTACAGAATGGAGCCTTTTAAGGTGCCATTCATGCCATTCATGTAGTGTCATCATTACACACTTTTGGATACACGATGGGAGGGGGAGTGAGTGGTATCTATCAGTTCTAAACCAATGATCCTCCATTTAGCTATATATGGCATATAGCTGTTAACTGACACAAAGGTAGTGGGGGAGGGGAGGCTAGCAGGATGTGAGGAATTTACATAGTAAACAGCAGCTGACCACATTGTAGGGGGGGAAGGGAATATTTACTCTAGAAGCCAGTTTTAACATAGTGAACAGAGAATAAATAGACATTAGTAAATAGCCATTTTATTTTAATTCATCTGTCCATAACAACTCACTAACAGACACACTCACTAACAGACACACTCACACACACTCACACTCACACTAACAGACACACACACTAACAGACACACACACTCACTCACTAACAGACACACTCACTAACAGACACAGTCACTAACAGACACACACACTCACTCACTAGTGGTTGCCGGGCTGGGCACTGGGCGCTGGGCGGCTGGCGAGGGAGCACTTCCCCTGAGCTATCTGCTCAGCTCCCTCGCGTGCCTCAGAGTGAGGCTGGGAGCCGGGTCGATGACGTCATATTCCGGCTCCCAGCTTCACTCTGCGGCGCGCGAGGGAGCTGAGGAGACAGCTCAGAGGAAGAGCTCCCTCGCCAGCCGCCCGCCTGCCAGCCAAGCATGTCAGTTAGCTGCGAGGCTAACAAGGCATTTGCCCTGGGCATTTGGGGGGTGGCTTTTTTTGCCGCCCCCTGGAAAATGCCGCCCAAGGCAAATGCCTTGTTTGCCTCGCGGCTAAAACGCCCCTGGCTGTGAGGGACAGCTTAGGAAATAATTCTGCAAACTAGTACATTAGTGGGGTGCACTTCATATCTGAGAGTCAAATAGAAGCGTCAAATACTACTGTCACATTGCAGTTTTAAAACCTCACATTTTTTGGGTGCTAAAAAGTACATTAGTGGGGTGCACTTCATATCTAAGAGTCAAATAGAAGCTTCAAATACTGCTGTCACATTGCAGTTTTAAAACTTTAATTTTTTTGGGTGCTAAACTGCTAAATAGTATGTTAGTGGGGTGCACTTCATATCTGAGAGTCAAATAGAAGCGTCAAAAACTGCTGTCACATTGCAGTTTTAAAACTTAAATTTTTTTGGGTGCTAAACTGCTAAATAGTATGCCTCTAAAGAGTCCTGTATTGTTATTTGTTGTCACTACCTTCCCGCGTCTGGCGTGGGTCATTTGCACGCCTGCTGCTTTCCTTGCATGTGGTAACCGTTTGTCAGGGTCCCTGTACGGAATCAAACCATGATTCCCCGTTACCCGTTGTCACCATGGTAGGCGCAGTCAATGGCATTGAAAGTTGATATGGTTAGACATTAGAATGCGTCGTTGCCTTCTCATTGTGGAGCACATTGAAAAAGTGCTCTAGCATGACGAGCTGGGTGATCTCCTCTGGGAACTTGGCTTGATGGGAGTTAAGCCAGTTCTGGGTGGCCCTTGTGATGAAGGCATTTTCTCCATGCATCAGGAGTTGAGCATTTCTCCATGCATCAGGAATGCAAGAAATGCACCGCAGGCTGCAAATGTTTCTTTTTTTGTATGACCCAATATTTTGGGGGCTACCCCAATTAAAAATAAAAATAAAAAAATATATATATTTATATATATATATATATATATAAACAGTGTTGGCTACCTCCTCCTCCTCCACCGCCGCCCCCACCTACATCGCCACAGTCACCGCCTCCTCAACCTATGGGTCACTTAGTATAAACTATGTACACAATAGCAGAGGCTACACATGCATCAGGAGTTGAGCTCAGTTTGAACAATGAAAGAAAATACCCTGCACTCCAACTCTCTCTCAAATGGATAATTCTGTTGATCCTCCTGACAGCCATGTTTTAGATTTTGATTTATGTTCTTCCAAAGCTAAAATCAAAGATTCCATCTAGTGCTATTTTATGGCTCAGCTGTATTTTTAATTTTTATGTTATTTTAAGTGATTTCCCTATCCACAATTGTTTGCAGGGCACTTGTCTTACTCTTAGCCCCATTGTACTTCCTTTTGCAGCCCTCTAGCCCTTTCCAGGACTGTTTTAGAGGCATTTTTGTGGCCAAAAGTTCGGGTCCCCATTGACTTCAATGGGGTTCGGGTTTGGGATCAAGTTCGATCACGGACCCGAACATCCAGGTGTCCGCTCAACTCTAACCATGATAGCTGAATCAATATTGGTTACACTTAAGGGAACACTATAGGCACCCAGACCACTTCATATCATTAGAGTGATCTGCATGCAATGTTCTTGTCTCCCTTGCCCTGCAATCAAAATTGCAGTTTTGGAGAAATTAAAAAATTAGTGACTATCTAGTAGTGACTGACTCCCTGACGCTGTGCATGAGGAAGTCCAGCGGCTTTAAAATTTGCAGGGGAAACATTAAGTCAAGCATTCCTACGTTTTGCGACCGAGGGGGCAAAAAAGACGCAAGTGTCATCTTTGCGTTAGTCTTGCATTTCTACAGGACTGAAAAATATTTTTTTTTAAATTAGATTGTAGAAAAAAAAAAATCTACCATTATTGGCAAAAATATATTATAACGGTGAAATATATGTTTGTCAATTTTCCAATGTAACTGTTTGTTACATCGACTCAATTATCCAAAAAACATATGTAATTTCAGCTGGTGGGTGGTGGCTTTTGGTGATGTCACATATTGATGCCATGGTTTAGACTGCAGCTGCGACTTGAGTACTGTGCAATGAACAAACAAAAGGAGGAATCCGCACATTCTAATCTGGTCCTGGTGCATCTAGACCTGGGCTGGCTAACCCCACTTCAATGGTAAAACAAAAGCTAGAAAATGCTTGAAAAAGATCTCAGTTGAGATCAAAACGTTGCGTGTGTGACGAAGTGCCCTTCGCCACTTGTGCCTGGAGAGGACTGCTTGCCCGCCTCTTGCCCTGTGACTATGGACCCTGGGAGATTTGGCCCGTTCAATTCAGTATGATAGGAGTTATGTATTTTTGTATCCTTTTGTGTTTTACTGGGAACATGTGCTCAATGGAGTCTGCTTCTATCCCTGGATAATTGGATTACTTTCCCCATTGTCTCCAGTCTAGAAGGCTCTGTAAAACCAGTTTGCGCCAGATAGCCATGCTGCCAGCCAGACCCCAAAAGATACTTTACTAACTTCTGAACCCCTGGTCTGATTCATGCCATTTTTTGATATGTTGTTTCCCTGAATGGATTGATTGTGAATATATAATTTTTATGTGAATGTGATGTATATTTTAGAAGTTATGAATGTTGTAAAAACTGTATTATTTCTGGCCAGCTCATAAGTGAGCTTTGTGTATTGTAGAAACTCAATTATCTAGCCTGGCCCAGAGGAGGAGTTTTGTGTTGCATAAATTGTGAGTTCGATAATAATAATAGGAGCATCGATTGGCGGAGGTACTCAGTCGCCAGCGGTCCGTCACAGCGTGTTTTTCCTGTTTTTCCAATAAAACTGTTGCATAATTGATCCTGGGTGCCTGGACTACATTTATTGTTTTACCATTTGAGTACTGTGCAAAGGAAATCCAGCTGTTCAAAATCATGTATACCCAATGAGGATACATCTGTAATTTGTAGGAAAACAATATTTTTAATGTCATTACATTGCATGTAGATTGAGTGTCCTCCATTTTGACCCGACTGAAAATAAGATTTGCTTTCTTGTATTTTTCTACATCTGAATACTGATTTTATTTATTTACTGAACAGGCATGCAAACAATACCAGACTTTGATAGCTCTTTTTGGTTCAAATGCAGTTCAGGCAATAACTCGTAATTCAGGTTTATTCAATTCTCAACTACTACTCCATTTAGTTGGTAGTCCTATCTGCTAATGCTACTGCTAATGCTGCACCCATTAATCTTTACCAGCCAAAAGCAGAGCAATGGTTGGCAAAGGTCGTTGATATCTGTAGTTATTAACAGCTGAAAGTACAGTTCTTGAATTATCTGTCCATAAACAGTTAGAAATTTTAATTTGAACTTGCAAAGCGTGAGTTAAATAATAAAGCATATACGACCTTAACCTTTTCTTGTCTATTATTTTTGACATATAAGATTTCCTATGCTATTCTAGTAAGGCCCCTCTGTGCCCTTCTGTGTTATTACTGCATTAATTAACATTATAATGGGAGTCCTTTTCCCAGGATAGTAACTATCCTGAACAGCATCACCGGTGTAAGGAAACTTGGTTACGTATAAATTGCTAAAATGCTATTTCACTGTGTGTTTACACTTGAGTTATTTTTTTCTTCTTCCTTTTGTCTGCTGCCATACTTAATGTTTTTAGTATGAATATAAAAATCAATGCTGGCCTCTTAAGCAAAATCAATTCTTAGAAGAAGCTTCCTTTGTGAGGCACTCTTACAATGTTCTATTAAGCTTCCGAATTTCCGAGCTGGGTGGAAGGATTGTAACACATTTTCTTAATGTATCGCAAATTACTCTTACCCACAAACAGTCACAGGCATTTGTTTACTAAACGGTGAATTGTGATGAATGGAAAAACCCAATTATAGCTGTGTCTTTGTTTTCTGCTTTGCTCCCCTGGGATCAAGGCACTAAATAAAAATATCATTTAGAAAGGGTGCTCTGTGTACAAAGACGCTTAGTAAATAAACCAGTAATAGATGCAGGTGAAAAAAGCAGCTCACACACATGTAACTAACCCCAAAGATTTACACACAAAGTATAGTACAAAAACCGATAACCCAGGTGGAACAAACCACTAAAAGTGTCTCTCAGTGGAGCGCTAGAAAGGTCAAACTTACCCCTATATATAATGGGAAAGTGTACAATGGTATAATTCCTATATGGAAAAGAGATATATACAATAGTGAAGTATATCAGGGTCCAGAGGTATAAGTAGGGAGACAATAAGTACCAAACTCACATGGTAAAGAGCCACATACGGATAGGCTCAAATCACTCCAGCATAGGTATATAAGGTAATACCAAAACCTTCTTGCCACATCCAGTCTTCAAACTTGTGCTTTATGAATGCAGACTTAGTCACCCAGCTACTTTCTATTCTTATATGCAAATTATCTTTACTAAAACTGGATTTGCAGGTTATTCAGATCACTTAACTATTTTGCAGAGCTAAACTGTCCATACACCTACCTTACCTTGTTATTTCACACATGCTTTATTTGACTAAAGTATTTCTCTATCTTCCTGTCTGCCTATTTATTACTATTCATACCTATGAAACACTTTTCTTGTCTGAAGTACCTGATGCACTGGCGCCGTAAGGAACCCCCAACTTACCAGAATTGTCTAAAGATGGTTGAAAGAGATACGCCAGGTTGAAGAGGAGGCTGCAATGGTAGGTGGGTGGCTGGACCAATTTGAAGGGTTATGGAGAACATGGACCTACTATCTATATACAAGTGAATAAAGGGTCAGAAGACGCATGCAGATACCCACATAATACTGTAATGGAGGGTTCACCTGGCATGGATTGGGCATGCTGCGGCAGGTGAATATTAGCGATGACCTGGGGCCCCTCCCGTACTGAGCTTGTGGTCCATACTGAGCTTGAGGTCGGCTCTCTACATCACACTGCCTCCTACCCCTTTCCCCACCACACTTTTTTTCTCTCTCTCTTCTTTCTCTCTCTCCCTCACTCTTACCCCCTCTCTTTCTCCAAGTTCTCTATTTCTCTGCTTTCATGGCCCTGTTTTTTTTTTTTATAATAAACTACGTCACTTTTCCGTCTCTCACTGTAATGTTCCCACTGCTGCAGGTATCCTAAGAATATAACTCACTGACCCAAGGCTGGGATTTACACAGTGGTCGTTCGGGGAAAGGAGGATCCTTCCTGGTGAGTAAAGCTCGAGAAGTCCAGATGCCTAAACGGTAGTTTCATAGACACAGAGGTTGGAGATGGCCAGGTCCTACCGCAGGAGTAATGGGTGAGACTGCTACACAACAAGCACACAGGGATCCATAAACCTATGATCTGTTAGATAGGAGTAATCTGATAGCCCCACAGCCAGCGCTAACGGACCAGCTTCAATCATCTGACATACATTCAACTAGATCAAATGGCTGAGTCAATCACACTCCCATTTTCTAGTATATAAACAAGACAGTAGACAGTAGAAATACCTTAGCATTGCAAGCCACAGGGCATTGTCCGGTCACGCCTGATGCCAAACTCAGTGAAACCAGCAAACAGTTTGTTTTAATAGTATGATGTGATTGAATTTTCAGAAGCTATCATCCTATAACCATGTGTTTTGATGTTTACAGTGAGATGACTGTCATACAGCTACTTGTTATACTCTTTCTGTATGTCTATTTTGAAAAACGAATGAAAAGTGATTGACAAAAAAAAATGTCATCAGTCATCATGGAAGTAACACATCTACAAAACCAGTTATTCACAAGATTCGATGCACATTCGTACATTTTATTGTTCTATTGAACATTAATAGTTTTAAATGTGTTTCATTATGGATGTTTTTAAATACTTTTCAGAAGTTGGGTTATATCGATTGATGTTAAAGTTATCGTTAAAAAATAAAACATTGAAAAATGCTTGCTTTGTGATAAATGACACATTCATTTAGAAATGTTGTTTTCAAAGGTGCATAAGAAAATAAAAAAGAATATACACAAAGAAATTATTTCTTCAAACACTCAAACGCGTGCAGTATAATAGAT